AAAGAACACTAACAGGTAGTGAGACAAGATCTTCCCGTACAGATCCCCTGCTGAGTCTGCCTCAATAGTTTTTGATCATCAATGTGTCTACTAATTCTCTCCTCAATAATAGTTTCCATCAACTTACCTGGTATCGACGTTAGACTGACTGGCCTATAATTTCCTGGATCTCCTCTGAAACCCCTTTTAAAGATGGGAGAGACATTAGCTATCTTCCAGTCCTCAGGAATGGAGGCAGATTTTAATGAAAGATTACATATTTTTCTCAGAAGACCCACAAGTTTACATTTGAGTTCTTTCAGAACTCTTGGATGTTTGCCATCTAGGCCTGGTGATTTAAGTTGTCTATCAGTCATAGGACCTCCTCTCTCATCACCTCAATCTGACAGGCGTTTCAACACCCCTCCTGAAATCAGCAGTTCTGGAGTGGGCAAGCACTTCTCATCTTCCACAGTGAAGACAGAGGCAAAAAATGCACTCAGCTTCTCAGCCATTTCCCCATCATCCATCAGTACTCCTTTTACCCCTTGGTCATCCAAGGGCCCCACTGCCTCCCTGGCTGGTTTCCTGCTTTTAATGCATTTGAAGAAAGTTTTATCGTTGGTCTTTATGTTTTTTGCAATATTCTCCCCATATTCCCTTTTTGCCTGCCTAGTCATAGACTTGCATTTTATTTGCCACAGCCTGTGTTCCCTTTTATCAACCTCACTGAGACTAGCCTTCCACCACTTAAAGAAATCCTTCTTACCTTTTACAGCTTCCATTACTTTGTTTGTTATGGTTATACAGGCCTTTTTCTATACCTATTTGTGCTTTTCCTAACCTGTTGTATATAATTTATCTAAGCTTCTAGGATCGTAGTTTTAAATAGTCTCCAAGCTTTCCCAATGGTTTTGACCCCTTTTCCTTCCAGTTTCCTCTTCAAATGTTCCCTCATTCCAGAGAAGTTACACCTTTTAAAGTTAAAAGTGGTTGTGTCGGTCTTTTTGGGCAACTCCCTGTTTATACAAATGCTGAACTCAATAACATTATGGTCACTGTTCCCAAGCGGTGCAATCAGTTTTACATCTCTCACCTGGTCTTGGGCGTTACTTAGGATCAAATCCAGGATCGCCTCTCCCCTGGTAGGTACTGTGACCATCTGCTCCATAGCACAGTCATTGAGAGTGTCTAGAAACTCAGTCTCTTTTTTCCGACTTGAACACATATTGACTCATTCAATAAGTAGGTAGTTAAAATCACCTATTACAACACAGTTATTTAGTCTAGCCGCTATCTTTCATTCCTCATTTTATAATCCTCCTCTATCTTTTGATCTTGTGGGTGACAGCTTCCTTTTGGGCCCACTATTTCGACCCATAGCATTTCCAGAAGCGAATCCAATACTCTTATGCTCTCGATCTTTCTGGACTGTAAACCCTCTCTGACATATAGAGCCACCCCACCTCCAACCCTTCCTCCCCATCTTTCCGATATAATTTATAACCAGGAATCACCGTATCCCACTGATGGTGCTCCATCAGTTGTGAAAGCAAGTATGTTAGTAAGCAGAATTTCCTTGTCTTTGAAGAACTGCTCAACAACACAAAATATTGACTTCCCTTTAGTTGTCTGTTCTTAGTTGTCTTGCAAACAACTAGTCTTGAGCCAAACTTTCATCTTTCATAAAGCATACATAAGCAAGAAGTGAAGATTCATTGCCTGGCAAAGTTGACTCATCCAACTGTAATGGAAATTCTGTAGTCCTTAGTACGCTGCAGAATGTATCTTTATGTTTTCAGCCACTTCATCTACGTGTCTGTGCTGAGAGGAACTGTCTTAACTGTACTGCATGGTGACTTGTGGAAAACAATACTCAGAAGCTCACTAACTCCTGGTAGGATGAGTTCTTCACCAAGTGTCTATGGCCCTTCAGGCTTATCAATCCATGACGGAATGTTGTAGGATGTATGCAAACCTCTGGCCCTGCAAAAAATGCTTGACCAGGTTGGCTGCTTTTGAAATTTGTCACACAGTGACTGAAAAAAGTTACATTCTTGTCTGCCTTTCCAGGATGTGCCTTCTTCAAACATTCAATCAGTCTGGAAAGACTCCATTGCTTCGTTTGAAAACTTCAGATATTCCAAACTATACTGTCCACACTTCTTTGGTTTTTCTGCTTCTGCCATTTCTATATGGCTAAAGAGTGCTTTATAATCAACAAGTTCAGTAACAAAGAACACAATACTAATATGTTAAAGACTTGCCAGCAAAAACTTGAAAAATTACCAAGAGAAAAAACACACATGGAGTAGGGGTGTGCAAATTTTTTTTAAAAAAAAATTGGTCCGATTCAGATTTGGCCGAACTGGGCAGAATCAATTTCAGCTGCCAGAAAGACTCCTGCATGTCAATTTCAGCAGTACCAGCTGGGAGTCTTTCAGCCAGCCGAATGTCAGTTTCGGTCCCATTATATCCTATGGGCCATTGAAGTCAATGGCAAAAACATACGGTATATTCTGGGGGCTGGAGGAGAGGGGGTTTGAGGAAGAGGCTCCAAACTTGCAGGGTAGCTGCTGGAGCATCTCCCCAAGATACCCACCACGTTTCAAGAACACTGGACCAGGGAATAGAATTCTACGGGCCCCCAAAGAGGTTGCCCCCATCCCCTCCATTGTTCTCTATGGTGGGGAAAAATTATTTCCCCCCCACGGTGCTGTTAGTGGCTCTGGGGGGGAGGGCTGAGGGAGAGGCTCCAAATTTTCAGGGTAGCTTTGGGAGCCTCTCCCCACATAAACCCCCATGCCCCAAAGGAATTGGACTACTGGGCCCAATTCTATGGGCACCCAAACAGGTTACCCCCATTGTTTCCAATGGGGAAACCCAGCCAGCAGCACTTAAGGCAGGCAAGCAGTCAGCACCCAGCAGTCAGACTCACCAAGGGACTCTCAGGGAAAGTGAACTGTCTTGGGAGGTGCTTGTTTGCCATGAGAACAAGTGGCACACTCCAGAACAAGTGGCACTGTGGTAGTGCAAGCATGCCACAGTGCCACACAGAAACCCCAAAAGACCATCAGGAACAACATTTATACAGGCCCTGTCCTGTATAAATTGATGGTGCAACCGCATTGGACCACTTACACCACACACACCTAGAAAAGTTTATAGCACTGGAAAAAATGCAGAAAAGGGCAACTATGATGATAAGAGGAGGACACTTTCCCTATGAAGAAAGGTTAAGGCGCTTGGGGATCTTAGCTCTGAGAAAGAATGACTGAGGGGTGACATGATAAGAGGTTTACAAGGCTATGCATGGGATAGAGCAGGTAGAGAAAGAGGTACTTTTCACCCTTCCTCACAAGACCAAAAGAACTCGTGGGCACTCAATGGAATTGCTGAGCAGTCAGGTTAGAAGTTAGAACAGATGAAAGGAAGTCCTTCTTCACCCAAACAATGATTAACACATGGAATTCACTGCCACAGGAGGTGGTGGTGGTGGCTGGCATGAACAGCTTCCAGATGGAGTTTGACAAGCATATGGAGGCTGGAGCAGAGCGGAGGTCCATCAGTGGCTGGTGTTCAGGAGTTGTTTTTTTAAAAAACAAACTATAAGTAATCCAGTACTATTACAAGAGGAGAAGGAACCAAGAGTTCCTTCTTATCTATAGCCACTAGCCACCAGTGTTAATCCATGTGCTAATCACTGTTTGGGTGAAGAAGGACTTCCTTTCATCTGTTCTTCTACTGATGACTGGTTGCCCTGCTTAAACTAGTTTGATGTGAATTGTGGATATTTCCCCCTGCATAATAACATGAAGGCTTCTATATACTGAGCACTAGATGAAGCTGTATGGTATAACTGAAGAAGTATCAACGAAACGAATATTGGAATCCGGAGTCTTCATCCTATGTCCTGTGTGCCGGCTTCTTTTGTACACTCTGTGTTGTTGTATGCCATATGTATACACTATACTGTATCTGTTTGTATTCTTTGTTCCTTTGCACTTCAGCATAGTGCCTTTGATTGCGTTATTTATACAGTGCTTTTTTGGTTGTTTATTATGAGACAACCACCCCTCCCCCATGCCTAGCAAATCTAAAAGAATCAAACAGCTCTAATCCCACGACTCCCAGCCACAAATGTTCCGCTTTCCAAACAAGGGCATCTAAATCACCATTGTTTGCCTCCAGTACTTCAGGGAAGTACACTTAAAACAGCTACATTTGAGTCCAAGGGCCCCACATAGGCCAACAAGGTTTCCAGGCTAGGAGCTTCAGAAAGCCAAAGCGCTCTCCCCGTTAAATAGCTCTGACTGGCAGAAGCTCGGAAACTATTGCTGGTCTCTAAGGTGCTCCTGGACTCAAACCCGGCTCTTCCACTGCAGACCAGCACGGCCGCTTGACTGAAACAAGCCTTCTCCCCCCGCCCCCCCCCCCTGTTTTGGTTTCTGTTTTGTCTGGGATGGAAAAGAGGTCACCGTGCATCACCTGGCCACCTGGAAATCCAGACTTTGACAGGCTGTGCTTATACTGGGTCTAGTGAGGGGCCTCTACTGAGGTGAGTACATGCCATGGACTCTGCTCTCATGTTCTAAGCAGGTACTGAGCCTGCCTTACAACACATCCAAACCAGAGCGGTGTCACACTTCAAGGAGTGTCCGACTGGGAAGCAGGAGACCCTGGGACTGGCTAGGTGACCTCGTGACAGTCACACTAACTGACCTGGCTGGGTTGTTGTGAGGATGGAACACAGATGGGAAGAGCTGGTACACTGCCCTGAGCTCCACGGGAGAAGGGAGGAATAAAAACATATTCAGTAAACAAACACACCACAGCCCACATGCAAGGCTGTTTTGACCTTGTGTGTCTCAGCAGGTTTTAGCACTGTACCCATTTAAAAAATGCATGCTCTAACTTGGTGAACAAAATTTAGTTGTCAATAGAGACTACTTTGAATTTTTAAAGTAGCAATCTAAGTAGTAAAACATACAACTTAACTGACGTGAGCTAACATGACTCACCTTCCAGCTCTTTTACCAGTTTAGTAAATTCATGATCAAACATCATGTCATCTGGATTTGAAAAGTTGGGCTGAGGTTTCTGAGCTGCTCGGGAATAGAGTTCGTGTTTGCTAATGAATCCCAGCTTTTCAATGAAGTTCTCCTTGCCAATCCTTTTTTCTATCAGTTGCTTTAGTTTCTCTCTAGGAAAAGAGAACACCAGAATTACCCAAGTCATGGAAAACTGCTCACCTCCAGGACGATTCCTAGGTAGCAAATAAATCCACTTTGACAGACAGAATTTGCAGAGTGCAGACTCCAAGGCTGAGGAAAAAGTAAAAGGGAGGGAAAAAACGGTTAGCTGCCTACGAAGCACCAACAAGATTGGCAGAATAAGGGCAGTTTCAGGCCACAGGGCCTGGGAGCAGGTTCCAGGAACCCGGGGGGGGGGGGGGAGCAGAAGGGGAAAGAGGCCTGTGTGTTTTAAGACTCAGCAGTAGCTGTTCATTTCTATGGGAAAAGGATGATCTGTCATCCTAGTGGGCTTATTATAGCTCCAAACCTTTGATCCTACAAACGTCTGTCACAGACAATACAAAACCTAGGCCCTTTCCCCTTGCTAATCATCATTTGTTCTTACATTGTCTAGCTACATCCTGTGACCTGCAGACTGGGTTACATTAAACTGAACAGATGTGAATTCCAAACAATTGCCGCTGCTCATCCTGCACAGGAGGTACTACAAGGACTCGAGATCTTTTGAACAGCACCCCCCCACCTCACTCCAATATACTTACTTTCGATAATTCTCAAGTGAGTTGTCGTTGTAATAAATGGATATCCCGAGTAAAAGTGCACACAGCCCCTGGACGACACGTTCCTCCACACCAAGGTTTTCTGCTATCTGTCCTGTTAGCTAGATCGCTCATTAAGGACGTCAGGAATTTCACAAGCAGGATGCAGAATGATCATTTTTATGCTGCCATGTCACTTCATTTTTTTTTTTTTTGGTGATTACGGGCAATGAACATGGCTAAATCAAAGTTGACCGAGTAGTAGTAATTGAACACTTTTAAAGGATACGAATGGAACGTTGGCAGAATTGTGCAGAAAATGAGTCACAGCAATGGGGCAGTTGCTCAGCCAGGTGCACAGCAATATCAATAGTCCAACTCTTGTCTGCACTTTGCTTCCCTGAAGCAAGAAAAGAAGGCCTGGATTTACATATCCTTCATTTCTAGTCTGAAACATCTCTCAAATAATGACAGAGGTTACCACTCAGAGCTAAAACTCCATTAGCCTTTTAATCAAGAAGTCAAGAGATTTGTTAGTAAAAATATGCAATTCAAATCATTGTCCCATCTCAGGGCAGAGATAAACATGGTTAAAGATGATTAAGAAAACCAGAAAGACTGGAAATCCTCCCAGGCTCCTCTGCTCTTCCCCCAAGCACGTTTCCCCCTCCCTTCTCTCTGCAGCACTGTGCGCTTCCCATCCCAAGCCCCCTGGAGGCTGAGCACAGCCTGCTTTGAATCACACTCTTGAAGCCCTGCT